TAGTTATTTCACAATTTAATATTTTATCATTTATTTAATGCTCCTGTGCAAAATACACATTATTCCGGTATTTATTTCCACTTTTAAATAAATTGTTGACACATTTAAATTATTATTTCACATGTCACTCATTTGTTGTATCTTGTCACTCCACACCCTCCAAACGTCGGCACCCTGAGCTGAGCCAGTGTTTGATCCAGCGGCGCACACAGCCGCTAGGTAGTAACGACGTCCAGGCCTTCTCTTCTACTTCAAGATGCTGATTGTTGATCTTTGAGATAAGCAAGAAATCAATTCGACTCTCAGCAGCCGAGCAGAAAACACCTCAGCACGAGGCGCCACGCAGCCGTCGCACAAACAACGCGGCACTAACAGATATCCGCCTCGTCGCTGCAGATGGGCGTCAGAGTCAACAATAACAGGGTTAAAAGAGCCCCCCCTTCCATTCCCCCAATGTAAACTCAGGTTCATCATGCTAAATGCAAAATGTGCTATTATGTCACAAGATTTCAGGTGAAGCCTGCAGAGGCAGTCCACTAAATGTTCTTTTTTTTTTTTCCTGCAATAGTCTGAGTGAACACATTTTTTTTCCTCAAGTGCTGCAAGGTGCATATCAATTTATGATCACAGAGTGACATCACTCCATAAGAAACACTCCAGACTAGCTGCAGTCAGCGGTCCGTCATTAAAATGTACGCAATGGGCAGAACGCAAAGCGGCCTTCAGAGCCAACGGGACGGCAGCCGTCGCACACAAGCTGCAAAAAGAAGAAGAAGAAGAAGATACCATCGACACCCTGAATTCATATCACATCAGCCGTCGTCCAGTCTGCTGTTCTGTCATCAGTTTGCTTCAGCAGCCAACAAACGATCCTGAAAGCCCAACATTCATTTGGGGGGTAAATGTCATGGACGGCAAGTTTATTCTGTCTGAACGTGGCATGTGAGTCACACGTTATGGAATTGCCTGGTTATAAGGATTCTATAGGAATTTCACAATGTTGTCTGAAATCTTTCCTATGTGGTTTAAGGATTCATGTTGGCCTTTACTGTAGCAGAGACTATTATTCCCAGGGTCCACATCAACATTTCTACAGGAATCCTTTACAAACATTCGTAAAAAGACATAAATGTCATTCTTAAGACACAAAAAGTCAGATGAATTACTTAGTCATTAACCCCAGTGCACTGCTAGTGATCCGACTATGTGTTTTTGTGCTGAACAATTTTGTTGTGGGCCGTTTGGCTCGGCCGACACGTATTCAGGACACGTGTAGCATTAAACTTGTCTTATTTATAAAACGTCCGCTCAGTTCCACACTGGAAACTCTTTTGCTAAAAATGACATTTTTGTCAGAGCATCTTCACTTTCTTTGCTTTACCTCCGAGTACATAAGAAACGTATGTATTTGTTGGTTTATATTGCCTTTATTGCGATTCCATGCAAAAGAAAATGAAGACAGAGAATATTCCCTCTAACATCAAATAAGAAACTGGTTTTGTTTGTTGGGATTAAATGTGCGTTCAGATGCTCCGGGACGCCACAGAAGACGCTTTAAATTCAACCTTCAGCCTTTTCATAACCATGTCATCAATAATTCACAGCAATATAAAATGCTTTGGGAGGTGGGAACAGGAAAGCATTCGAGTCGAGGGCCCGTTGTCGGGACCTTGTTGCACGAAATGGGATTCGTGGCTGCCAAACATCACCGGCGTTAACGTTTCAGGCGGATGAAAGAAAGCGTTTGACAGCCGAGGGACGGAGAGCGCCTTTTCTGAAAAGACGGCGAGATTATGACTCCGACAACAACGTCTAAAACTCGGCCCGTCTGCACGTCACTATGACAACGGGCTCTTCGGGGAGTCCTTTTCAAACGACTGGCGAGGTCAACGAAACGACTGGGAGATACGCAAAACGATACAACAACAGAAATGAATAATGATACAGAAAAAAGGAATGTTCATTCAGAGCAGCATGCTGACCCAACGCCGCGCCCACCTGCTCCACACTTGACAAATTAATCCACTTCTCTCGGATCTGCTCCTCTCCCTCTGGAGTGTGTTTGGCAGGCGAAGGAAACAAATCATATGAGCTGAGCCATCAGGCGGCTCCCCGCTGGTCTGGGCTCCCGTCTTTCCCACATGATCAATGCGCCAAGCGGGGCAGCGAGCCGTGAACCAAACCACCCGGCCAGTTATGCAGCTTACTCCACCATTACAAGAGCAAAATATATCTATATATATATATCTATATATATCTATATATATATAGAGAGAGAGATAATATATATATCTATCTACATATATATATATATATATATATATAGATATATCTATATCTATATATATATATATATATATATAGATATAGATATATCTATATATATATGTATATATATATATAGATAGATAGATAGATATCTATATATATAATATGTATTTTATTTTTCTCTTCTTGTCTTGCAGCACTTGCTGGCTCAGATGGTGAAGTAAGGTCTTCCAACCTATTAAAGTAGATTGGAGTCTCAGCCATACTAACCGAAAGTATTGACATCTAGGGTAAGATGTTAAAAGATGTTACAATGAGAACTTCAACAAGGTGGTTGGGGGGAAAAATTAAATAAAAAGAAGTGTGTTATATGTCCACTGTTTGACCCCTTGAACTCTCCAGGATCAGGGTTTTGGACTGAACCTGCAGATGTTACACAAAACCTTGACAATCAACTATTTTTATTTTTTATTTTTACAAAACACAACAAAGATAACTACACATGAATCTACACTGATTGCAGGGACAAAAAAAAATCAAGTTTACATTTAACAACTTAAAATGCATATTTAAAATCTCACGGTTCTGTTAAAGTACCGCACTACACCTGAATCAGAAAAAAAAGCAGCTACTATTACTATTTCTTTTTATTAATAATAGCACTACAAATCTCTGTTGTCCCGATGTCTGTTGATGATGCTTTGTTTGATGCAGTGTTATATTGAACCTCACCAGCTGAAAACGGAGCAAATGTTGCCATTTGGATCCCCGATCAAACCGAGTCTACCGAACTATTAGTTCTGAACCCCACTTCTCCTCCAGTCATTTCCTTTGGTTTCAAAGTTTGTTCTTTTCCTTTTTTTTTTTTCTTCTTGCTGTCTGGTTATGAAGCTCACTGCCATGTTTGACATTAGTCCAGTTTATCATTTTTTTTCAAAAACGCCACATCAGCTGAGATAAATCCAGCGTGGCGTCAGTCCTGGTCAGAGCGTCGTTTATTCACTCCGTCCAATTACAAGGCGTTCTGCAGCGGGCTGGCGCTGGAGAGGGGACGTCTAGGGTTTATTACCAGGGGCACGCTGCGCTCCAGGCGTCGCCATGATGACCGGCTTCAATTAAGAGCGCTTTGACTGCTTGAACTTCATCAAAATCCAGTGTTTTCCCAGAAAAGTTTGCAGCAGCTCAGTCGATGTGGCAGAACTCGAAAAAAAGGCTGAGTCATCGGAGTCGGTTTCTCGGCTTCAGAGCGTCTGCAGGAAGAGAAACGCTCGCACCCTCGGAGGTCCACGTCGCAAACTTCTTTTGAGACTTCTGGAGGAGCGCCTGGCATTTCACAGTGAAATACATCGACCGGGGAGGGATGAAATTTCAAGGCGTTGAGCTAAAACCTGATCAGCGTTTACTCCAGTACCACGCCGTACGGACTTTTTTCACCTAAAGTCGTTCAAATTCGTGATGTGGCTTTTTTCAATCCCTCCCTCGCCCCCCATCTCGTCCTCCCATATATAACCCTAGAAATGGAGAATGAGTCGGCGTATTATTTATGGATTACTGCCTATTAAGGCGCTTGTGAGAGGAGGGGAAAGTGCTGCCTGTGGCTGTGCGATTACCGCAAAACCCAGGATTTGTGTTTAGATCCCTGAGGGTGAGAGTTTGTACTGAGAAAACATATGGCTCTGAAAGGACTCGCGTGGCCATTAAAGCACGGCAACCACTCTGTGCATCGGGCTCCGCGCACAAGCACAACCCACGTGGTTTAAGGCTGCTGCCTTCTCCTATGTGGATTCCTGTCACACAGTCTGAAAAGGGTGCACTGTCCTGTTGAAAGCCCGGTAAGGGTAATAAATCAGCAGGGAGCGAAGGAGACTGACAGCAAGTCTGCAACTTGGTTCAAAGTCCTGCAGATAAAAGCCAGTGCTCACACTGATAAGGCTTCAAATAAGCCGTCACACACACACACACATGTTCTCGCTCACACATCACTATCATCCCAATCACGCTCACACAACAACAGGAGGATGCAGGAAACAATTCAGTATTCTTTCCCATAAGCAGCAGCGTTTCCATTAACCAAACTCACCGTGCGAAAATAATTTGTCGAACTGGAGACACAGCAATTTCTAAAAAACCTTCTTTGTTTTCGAATAAAAAATGTATTTTGTGGTGGTTTTTCTGGGTTTGTATTTCATAAAAGTGCAATGGAAAAAAATTTTTTCGCATCACACGGGTCACGTGATCAACAGCTGGTTGTTACTACTGGCAAAAACCACAAAGATAAAGACGAGAACTACTTTGAGAATGATGGGGGGTTTTTAGGGTTTTTTTTGTCCAGTTGATGTACAGCTTAACACCATAACTCTCGCAGAATCGCAGTTCGGAGAAAAGTCGTGCATCGTTCTAAAGTGTCGAATCCGCAGCTCTTCCGTAAAAATCGCAGATTACGATTTCCGCCAAAACGCCGAACGCAAAGGCTGACAAGTCGCTGACGACACCTGTACGGCTGGTGACGAGTGCCAACGCCGAGTCTGAATTACGAGTATATCTCACTTAAGCTTATGCACATGTAAAATTAATGTAATTTTTTATTTAATAATTTCACACCTCAATTGCGAAATTATGTTGTTTTTTTTTACACTAGCTAAATATAGACATGCGATCATTTCTAATGCAAATGCCACAACAGAAAGTGGATGTAAACAATTTTACTATCTTACAAACGGGGCTCTTCTTACCTTGCTGTCTGCAGGCGTCTCCCTCTTTCCTAGATGCTGTCCCATGCTGCTGACAGAGGCTGGGGGGGCAAACACAGAGGAAACACCACATTACAAAGGCATAACATGTTTTCTTATCAAATACAAGGAAAGCATCTCCAAAGCCAAAGTGATCTCGTATTCCTGCAGGAACACAGCCAGATTAGGGCGACTAAATTTTCTAAATATGCTCGTTACAGATCAGAGGAGTGACCTTTGCTCTTTTATAAATCACTAATAAACAACGTAATCTAACTTCACAAAGTTTATTCAGCACATTTTCACCTGAAGTGTATCACCCAGCCTTTCTCATTCAGCTGAAAGCGGAGGTTAGTGATCTTCCCTTTGCGCTCAGGTGGAGCCGCTTACAGGGAAACTATTTCTGAGCCCGATCCTCCGTCTCGCGCTGAATAGCGTTCCATCTCATTCCTGGATGGTTGAGGGAGACGTTTGATTTATGAATAGGTTTAAATTACCAGACTGCGACTCGTGTCCCGCACAGGAAGCGAGATTGAGATCGATTTTAATCATTTTGTTTTAATGAATCACCTGAAATGTGCTTTAATGAGCTCATTTGATAAAAGATAGTTTATCTGGCTGTCAAAGGAAGACATTTATTGGGAAATTTATCTGGCGCTTTGCATGATTTTATTATAAATATTCAGCACTGATGGCAGGGATTCTTTGATTGATCATGCAACGTAGCAGTACATCACGCTAGACACAGACAAGGTCAGCATTGGTGAGGACGTTTTCTCTTAATGGCAAGTAGGCGGTATAAAGGTTTCTTAAGATGTCTTAATTGTCAGAGATTGCTCAGAGTAATTGGCTGATCGGAAACTAAAAAAAGGACGAAGGGGGAAAAAAGCTATTTCGGAGTCAGTGCTAACAGATAATGATTGTGTAAATATATTGCTCTTTATATTTATATATATATATATATATATATATATATATATATATATATATATATATATATATACATACGTCCACCATATCCTAAACAGTTATACATGTGAGTGGACCGCTGGGATTTGCATGAGTCAGGAACTACAGGGATACGTGAATAATTTTTACAAAATCACTGAAAACTTTAAACCTCCGCTTATAACCTCCTTATTTAATATCTCAGACATCAAATATACTTTAACATGCAGTAATACACATAGTAGCCATCATCCACAATCCTCCTTATATTGGGAGTACAGCCAGTAATCACAAAGGAAAATGAATGGTGCTCCTGGATTGGCTGCATATGCAAGTCAATGGTGTGTTACTATAGGATATTTAAGATCCCAGTGCAACAACTTCAGTAACCTTCAGTAACAACTTCTTTGGAGTAGAAGTTGTTACTGATTTAGCTAGAATTTGAATCGCAGATGTGTTTAAAAATGTAGAAATGTACAAAAGATAAAAAGATGCTTAAAAGTACAATATCTTTTAATGGAAACACATTTTAAACCATTTGTTGACCTCAACAAATAGTTGAAGTCAACAAAAGCTCACTGGATATTAATGATGGATGATTGAATTAGTCCTCTTAAAAGCAACAGGCTGAAACAAATTAGCTGCCATTACGTCTTTAAATATCTGAGAGCCAACCAGATCCTACAAACAGTATGTGGAAAACAACTGAGGAGTGTTTATTTACTTTTTTTTTTTTTTAACACTGCCAATATCTGCTGTCCTTTAGACAGAAGAGAATCAATCAGACAGATCAAACTCTTCAAAGTGACATAGAGGAAATTGGCCACGAAAGATCTAATTGGGATATCTAACACTAATCTGAACACGAAGTCACTGCGTTTACTCCTTTTTTTTAATCTTGGATTAAAAACACTTTAAATCCGCCCTCAGGCTGTAAATCTATAATCCTTTTTGTCTGGATTACATTCCTCCGACTCTATTGTCGTCATCTGAGCTGAGACAGGAAACTGTGTGACCTGGTGTACGCTCTGCGTTTGTTCCTTACAGTATTTCGCGGTACGTTCTGCCTGGCGGCGTTCCCGTTTCCTCTTCGGGGCACAGGCAGCATTTGATTAGCAGCTACTTCATTAGAGTCGTCCTCCGAATCCGATTCGGTCCTCCGGCAACTTATTAGGTTTCTGAGAGGTGGCACAGATTTAACACTGGCAATCATTATGTGCCGATGTGCCATTTGACTTCAGGCGTACTTGTCGTGGCACGGTGATACAAAAAAAAGAGAAAAGAGAAAGAGTACGGATTCCTCTGACATACAGAACGGAGGTTAATTATCGGCGCCGATTGCGAGCCTTGATAATGACAATCCATTCTAATGAAACGTGGAGAGTGTCAGCGGTTCTAACATAAATAGACACAGTAACGACAGAGTTCAGCCAACGTTTACTACAGGAAGTTATCCCAAGTCCATTTAATTAACTTCTCATTTGTTAACACACACACAAAAAAAATCAGACACCCAAATCTTTGTCCAGATATGTAAAATGAATTCTTTGACAATATTTAGAAGTTTAAGTGATTATAAATAAACAACTCTGACAAAAAGTGAAGAAATCTTTCATCTTTCTGTAAATAATAATTAAAAAAAAAAACCCTGAAGAATCAATAATACCTGCTAAAGTTCAACACGGGCGTATCGAATGAGCGCCACATAATGAAAGCATTATTACTCAGCATTTTGAAGGAGGCTTGTCCTGTGGTGAGCTCCAGGCTGCTGAAGTGGGAGTGAAAACCCATGACGGGTCTGAGTCCTCCGTTAAATAATAGAAACCACAGCAAGGCAGCTGATCTGCTGAGGGATTTAAAAAGGTCTCAAAAGAATTTAATACCGGTCCGACCTGGAAGCAGGTCGGAGGTCTCCAAAAACCTCAAAATGGCATCATGAGACCTGCAAAAGGGACTTGCTTTACTTGACAATGATAATTCTACATATGCCTCTATAATCACAAAAATACTCTATAAGTATGTTTTATGAGAGATGTGTAAGAAAGAGATTACTTTCTTTAAAAACAAAATAAAACAACTGAAGCTGAAGTTCAGCTTGTCAGAGAGAATGTCAACAAAATTATGCACTTCTGCAACCATGTCCTTTAAACAGATGAGTCTAAATCTAAACGGGACAAATCTGGCAACAACTAAATGCATTATTCAAGGAAAACAGTCTAATACTAGCTGGGGGAAGATGTCATGATTTGGGACCTGGACCTTGCCACCCAACCATCGTAGAATCCACAATGAATTGTAAAATGTACAAGAGGATGATTAATTGAAATGTAGCACCCTAACCCTAATCTTAACCCTACGGCAATCTAAAAATAAAAAAAATACTGACACTGAACGCTGCAAAATAAAAATGGTCCAAAACAAACCAGTAAGGGCTGGTTGAAAATCGAGAAATGGAAAGTCCTCAGCTGAGTAAAAGCCCAAATCTTGAGACCCGTAAGTCTTAGCGTGATGATCAGGCAGAGAACGGCAAATGTCACGGTCGGACAGCGGGGAAGAGGGTGTTTGCCCCACAAGAGTGTCAACTTCCGAAGCCATGCAAACAAAACAACCCCTTGTAAAAGTTTTCACATGGATCACGTAAAACCGCATGGGCTTTAAATGACCCCATCTCTTAAAGCTAAGGGAAGGTTAAGAGTGTTTTTTTTTTTTTTGCTGAGTTGTTTAGCCCCATTAAAACAAACTTAGCTCTGTTTCCCACCTCAGTGTGGTTCGTTTGCTCGATGGAAAAACATAAAAAGTGCTACGGTTCAGACCAACTCAATCCTACCCAGAACCTTTGGGGGGGATCTGATCTCGGTACTGTTGTGAATGAGCGCAAATGCGATAAGATCTGACCTCCATGCAACACAGATACCAGGTGTTTGATGAAAGTTTGAGCCACATGCCTTCCCATAGTTAGGTATGCGGGATGCAGTTTACTAAGCATACTAAAAAAGAAAAAAAAGAGAGACTGCATGACATTTTCCTAAAAGCGTTAAAGCCCAACACAATTGTCAACACATCTCAAAATGTTCAGGATTCTTCTCAGATGATTCTGCCTGACATATTCTCCACACGCACACTTTTGATTTAGCTCAATTTGCTGCTTTCTCCCACTTTGGAACACAAACATTTCCATTTGCCACTCCCATCCAACACACACATCTGGCCAATAAACCGAATTTTACAGTATGAAAATTCAGTCTGACAGGTTGATGGATGATGACCGGTTTCGGTTTCCTTAACGTTTTTTTCCCTGTACGAAGAACAACCAACCCCAAAATAGTTCAACTCATCAGCTGATTCAAACTAAAGTAAAGTTTAAGTGCAAAAACGCCCTGGGCTTGGATTTAGAGAAAAGATACCGGAAAAGACATACTGAGCAACTTTTTTTTTTTTAAGTAGAACTTTTAACTGAGTTAATGTTTCTAACACAAGCAAGCTGAAATATGTGATGCAATCTCTGAGTGCAGACAATATTGAACCATGTTGCTAAGTCAGAATGTTGAGGATAATAAGTTTTTAGGGCTTTTAAGGTTAAGGGTCATGAATATCTGTACCACGTACGGACATAGAAACCCAGCCCCATGAAACATGAAAGTCAATTCAATTAGCCAAATATATATCTTGGAAGTCGCGTTTATTAGAAGCCGCATTTTCACAAATCCTCAAAATTCACACAGAATCAGTAGATCTCCACATTTTTTCAGATTTTACTGCAAATTTTCCAACCCCTCCCTCCTCCAAAAACAATAGCCTCACATGGTACATGATCGATACGGCGAGAAACAATAAGTCACATTTAACATCATATATTGACGCAAATATTGCAAAAAGTACTTAAAAATATTTCTAAATTAGTACCACAAAGTAAGTAATTTTTTATACAAAGGGAAAAAAAACACACAAAACAATCAGAAAATCCCAAAGGGACAGCTATTGATGAGTATTTTAGCCGTTTAATGGGATTTATCAATACATCCCGGTGCTGCCGGCCCTTTAAGAACATTCAGATTTTTGACATGGCCCAAAAATAAAACTGAGCTTGACACCCTGCCTTAGAGCAAGAATTGAT